ATATTGCTCAGGCTGATTTAGAGTACGTATGTAATTTGCATGCACATTGGTATTAATGCATGCATTGTTTCCGGAGAATGCATTAGAGGAGTCAGGCGCACGCACAGACCCCTCTAATGCATATATAGTGATCGGCAAGGAGTGGGGGTCGGGGGTATAGGCCGCATTTGGCTGAAGAAAAGTTCTCGTGACCCAATGCTTGCAGGAGGTTGCCTGGAGGGTGCACGAGGACGACAGCAGAGACGCCTGGAATATATTATGTGTACTAATCGTCGCTTGTCCGATTTAAATGTACTCTCCTCAAGGCCACGAGCTTTAAGGAGAGGGGGGATCTGTCATCCAAACGAAAGCTTCATTACGACTTCAAATTTTGGTACTGAAGCTCTCGATTGGATAACGGTGTCCTACTCTCCACGAGGAGAGAGATTTAAATCTGACAACAGCTCGGCATGCCTCCTCTCTTCATGCCGCGAGCTTTCCCAATTTCCGATGTTGCACTGTTCATAACAAAGATGGCAGACAGCTCCTGGTCATCGTTGATAGTTCCTAGAAAGTTCTAATTATATTTAAGCGTATTTGAAGCTCATTTCTGTACAGTAATGCGGATCTCGTATTGTTGGAAGAAAGTAATTACGTTGGCGCCCGTTGTGTGTGTGTGTGTGTGTACCGGTGTGTTTTACTAAAAAGAATATTGCGGCCTGATAAAAAAGTCTCTGTAAAAACTTGAAAAATCTGTGCCAGGCTTTGATGTTAGAACACTTGCGAAATGTCCAAACAAAATATGTGCGCGAAAATTTAAAACATCGTAGTATACTCGCTATAAATAATGGTGCTGAAACTAATATTAAAAAAAAAAAAAACTTGCTTAATTATTAGTACCCACAAAATCTGGAGTGTGAGGGGGTTGCAGAGTTCGAGCAAAAATATTTATACCTCCAATTTGACTGAAGGTAAGTTTTAACCGTAATCGGTATTTCTTTCAATCTTGTCCACAAATAATTTTTTTTAGAAACGGCAATTTTTTTGCCGACATTGCGTCACCTATGCTTGCGGTCAGCAACTGACTACAGTAGGTCAAATTATCATAGCATACAATAGCATAGAATTTGCGCCCCCAGTGAGGATACAAGTTAGGATTGTTATTTGTTCAGTTCTTGATTGTGATACAGTCTTTGGACTGCATTTGTTCTATTCTGGGCCGTGTGCGCTTGCCACAAGATAAATAATGATATTTGTTTTAGCCGGAATAATCTAAATAGCGCCTCCGAGTCATGGCACGCGCCATGCCTACCATACCGTAGACACGGCTCTCCTCAAACATTACTTAAATGACTATGCATAGTGTTCGTGTCAGTAACTTTCACGTCCCGCGCACATGGTTCTGGCTTTAATTGCCAGTGTTCACTCGAATTTCTGCATTACTTATGCATTACGACAATTGCCGGTAATAGAATTCATACAAAACAAATACGAACTAGGTTTCGAATATACGGTGGTTTCACTTCCCTTGGTAACAAACATCGCAATTTGGGCACGTTTTACACTCGATCATTTTATGATCTTAGTTGTGATGAAAGGAAGGAAGAGGTACTTTCTTCAAGAACGGCCAATTTTACACAAAGGATTCATCAAATGATATTTTGAATCAACGAACCTAACATCAAGGGAAAATAAATAATGCATTCAATACCGTACAGAATTGACTTGTGTATTTTCAATAACATTAAATTCATAAAATTAAATTGCAGTTTTCTTGCGAAGACAGAAAATTAGCATTTCCTTCGGATGCCACTCCGACGTGCCGCGCACTGC